TTGTTTTTCTATGCATTTTCCACACCCACACGCTTTAAGTACGGAGAGATTGAACGGCATAAGGGCTCCGCACTGAACTAGAACACTTTCAAACGAGCGAGGCCCACAACACAGGGAAGGTTCCGTACACGCAGAATTGAAACTGGTATTCCCTTTCACGCATTTAACTGGCTCACACTCCCCTACGTCCACGGTTGTGGTGTTTGTACCATTGAGAACACAGCCTACAGGCAGGGTCTCGTTCTTTGAACTAGGTGTCGAGAAACATGAATCCTCAGATTTTTCTGGGAAGGAAAAAAATAAATTGCTTTTTCCATGGATATAAAGTGTTCTTAACTCTTTTGCCAACGTGAATTTACACGCTAAATACTTACGAGAGATGTTGCCTATTTGTACGAGAAATACCTTTTGGTAATTTTGGTTTTCCCAGCAAGCCTACATTGAAGCTCACAGGACGAAATTACATATTTACTAATCTTTAGGGTCGGCGCACACGAGGGGGACTCGTCCCTTCGACTAGTCCCTACAACTAGTCCCCTAAAGAGTTTACAGGAAGGGACTGGTCGTAGGAACTTGTCCCACGAACTGTTCATACGGAGCGTTTGGAGGAACAAGTCGCAAGGACTTGTCCCAAAAATTCAAACCAGTTTGAATTCGTGGGACTAGTCGCACGGACCAAATTTTAGTCCCTGTGACTAGATTTTGTGGTAAAAATGGCTAGTTCACACTATGGGACTTGTGTGCCGACCTTTAAGAAAAAACTTAAGGTCCCTTAACGGTATTGAAAATCCGTAAATTAACAAGTAAAAGCTCTTGAGAGCGTGTCCATGACAGACCCAGAGAGAACCAGGCAGGAGGTGATACAACTCAAATCACCGATTTCGCTCGAACTTGGCACAAATGTTGAGTTTGGTAAGTGAATGATTATGGCAAAATAGTAGGTCTAAATTTCTTATTCCCTCCAAGTTAGGGGACCCTCTGCAAAAATAGCCATTTAACAACTATTAATGCATATTTAATTAACTATCTTTGGTTTAGTATTTCTACAACAAGAATAGCTATGTAAAAATGAAAACCAATGGATCATATTCTACAACTATCAGTCTAAAAGGTTAGCACAGATATTTTTTTCAATTGCGCAATTTGATTTCTCTCCGTGGCTTCATCTTCAGTAAGATGCATATTTCGTGGTGTTGTGAATAGCCTTTAATTGATGGCAAATATCTGCAATGGGCAACAGCAAATACACATAATTCTAACATGTTGAAAACCCCTTTCTAGCCACCAGTCATTGCTCTTTGTTTCGAAGCCTTTATGTTTATAATATCTTAAACAGACCAATAATTTTTCAAGTTTAGACAAAGGAAATGACAACCGTGATGGTGTTAGTTAAGATATCTGATATTAATAAGTTAACATTTGCGCGACTTTATTTCTTCTTCTTTTCCCCTCTTTCTTAGTTTAGATTGAGAAAGTATATCAAATACTCGAGAGAGGGTTTGACCACATTTCCAAACACCTCGACCTTCGTCAAAAATACTCCGCTGCGCGTCGTATTTTCAACTCTCTTTTCGGTGTTTAAAGATGTTATGAAACACGGTCTCTCAATGGCGTAGCACACTGTGACAGGTGCAGATACATACCTAATACCGTTAAGACGGCTCTGTCGGAAAATTCTGATCCAAAGTCGTTTACCACCCTACAGCGGTACGTTCCACTAAGACCACTCGGTACAGTGGGGATTACAAGAGTGTTGTCATAACTGTACAGGTCTTTATCAATGATATTATTCTCTTTGAACCTGAAGGAAGAATCGACGTACCAGCAGCATTTTAACCACCATACTTTGATTTACAACGTTTGATTTCCAAGAGTAAATAAAACCGGGAAAAGAACATAGCAACTGAAATTGAGCAAGCGTTGAGTTCAAGACTCCTGTAAAAGCTCTCAAGACTCTTACAGGAATTAGAAAATTAACTGTAGAGTATTTATAAGGGCAGAGAAAATAAAATAACGCTTTTGATCTAGACATGTTCTTGTCTGAATGGTTGAATTTATAGATTGAAAAAACGTTTTTCGAACAAACAGTTAACCAGCTAACAAACAAGATCAATTTTCAACGTTTTATACTCGAGTTTGCTCAAACCTTTGTCCCCGTTCTGTCTAAGAAGCTGTTATGGTCGGTATTAGAAAATTGGGACTGACCAAGAAACCAGTCAAAATGTTCCTTTTCGTCGATTACCAGTTTGACGATGTTTATACAATGAATCAAATCTTTCTTTCGACCTAAATATTATAGTTTCTTACCATTCAATTTCTGGTGGAGGGTTTCCTTCGCCTTCACAACAAAATGTTACACTCTGGCCAGGCATCCGAATCTTACTATCTGGGTGGACTGTCACAAATGGAGGAACTGTAGAGTTATAGATATACATCGCAAAAGATGTTAAATAAGGACCATTAGGTCGTTTGATGTTAGTCTTTTTTTTTTCGGATGATATGCCTGCACGTCACTTTCAGCGAATGGTAAAACGCATCCTTTTTGATACGTTTTCGCTCTCGTCCACAATAAAACGCTGAAAACGCTGATAACGCTGATAGACTGAAACAAGAGTATATGAAGCTTTTTTCGGTACCGTTTTGAAAAGCCTCCGTTTTCACCTATCCACGGAGCGTTTTCAAAACAATGCGTTTTCAAAAGGCTCCACTTTTAAAACCGTTTTCGAAGGCCTCCGTGTTCATCAGCGTTTTCGGTCGTTTTAGTATAGACGATAGGCGAAAACGTATCAAAAGGTATGCGTTTAAAGAAAAGGGTGGCCGGGGCCTTAGAGACGCGATCATAGCTTACCAGCAAACTCTAGCCTGGCAACAACATTAGCAGTCGAAGGCGTCAGCACAGTGGCATTCTTCTTCGTAGGAACGAAACCAGCTTTTGTTATGAACAGCTCTTGCTCAGCGTCTGTACAGACATTGAAAGCTGTAAAAAAGCCACTGATATTTGTTTGAGCCAAAACTCTGTATGGTGTCTCCGCCAATGAAATGTTGGCTTCCGACAAAGGAACATTCGTCTCACTAAGAACTCGACCAGTGAGCACGTGATCATCACATGTATAAGCACTGCATTCATCGTTAAGCGTTCCTTTGACGCACGTCCTGTTGCAATCTGAAACAAATTTTAACTTGAGTACACACATGTCGAGATGGCTTGTAACAGCTTCCAGCGCTTTCCGTGGCTTAGGGTTTAATGAGTCATTATAGCCACTCTTTATTAGTTGATCTTAAAATCATGATATCAAAATACTGCGCAATCAATGGTTAACACGTTGTTATCATTTGCATGACACAATGGGTTACCATAGAAATGGCATGACCCGTTGAAAGCACCCTTAATTTCAGCTTCAACTGCTAATAACTCAAAAACGAGATATTTGTAATCAAATTTTGATTAGCAGGATAAGACGCAACTTTTGGCGAATTTTTTTTTAATGTAAATGAGGTTCAGAGCCATGGTAAATGTTCGAAAATTTAAGGTAGCTCTGAGCCCCATGCACAGATTTTTTTAAAACTTTGCCAAAAGTTGGGAGAAATATAGAAAATATATATCTAACCTGTACAGTTCCATTCCGCACACGTCTTGTTCTGTATGTGTTTCCCAGCACAAGCAATGGGAGCGAAAACTGCACCCTGATTTTGTGCAACACATGTCCTATTTCGATGTCGAGCTCCAGTACCGCATGTTTTAGTGCAGTCACTCCAAGGACTCCATCGAGACCATTTGGTTTCTGGAACGTAAGGTAGCAATAAGTGTGAAAACAGGGCCTCAAGCTCATTTTTCAGGGCGTTAAAGATGAGAGCAGAAAACTGGACGTTTTACGGTGGCGGGGAGGACGTAAAAATGAAATGTAGGAGGATTTCAGAGCAACCCAGATAACATGTAGGATTCTTATGTTGTTTCACTGCTCCTAAGATTGTCCACGTTCAACAATTTAAAAAATCCTCAAAAAATCATTTTGCAAAATACTGCAAGCTAAAAATATTTCTCACAAACATCGTTTTAAAGGAGAAAGTAACTCCAAAAAATGTACATTTTTTGTCAACGATAATAAAAACCTCGCACTAAGTTTAGCTACTCACCGAAGTTTCAGCCTCTAAAGTGTAACTTTTCCTTATGAAATTCGTCTCCAAAGATCGTTGCCGCCATTTTGAACAGTACTTAGCAGCCAGGCCGGGTTTTAGTGACGTCATCCCGTCCAAGAGATTTTGTCCAAATGGCTGCCAACAAGACTTTTAACTACCACTCTGGGTTATGGCTGCTCTTGAGCCGTGTTATTTTGAGCCAAATATGCTCCAGACTCCGAAAATGATATTAGTGAAGATAGTAAGATTTTTGGAGTGACCGTACCCGGTTCTCCTTTAATGATAACTCCGTTGGAGTTACATCTAAATTAACAATTCAAAGTTATTACTACTCGGTACAATATACTAAAAAGACAAATTGTACCATATGGATATGAAAAGCGCTGCCTGATAGTTTAGATTTGGCTTTGACCATAAAACCCTGATGGATTTTTTTTGGATAAAGTGTTCCCTACCTGTGTTTGGCACAAGGCTTGCAAGTTTTGACACGGCTGACGCAGTTTTTGATGCGGTGCTAATCATAAAATCGCCACTGTTCATACTGGAGAAGGAAATCACGCTTGGTTCCTTGATGAAACTCGAACTTGTTATCCTTGTAGATAGTGCCGCCTTCACTACCGATGAAATTGCACCTCGACCAAAAGAGGTCGCCGCTGGTGTGGCAGAAAGGCGTATGTTTACGCTTGATCCTATTGTGAAATAACGCAAATGCTTAATCATTTAGTTCATTCAAAACTCATAAACAAATAGCAACAATAGCACCCAGGGGAACCCCCAAATAAAAAGAACTGGGGTGCTCGTCAGGAAATTTTAAAAGAACCCTTAGTGGTGCCAGGAGGTACCAGTTGTAAAACAACAACTTAACTGGTACTTCCATAATTTTTAATAGTGATAAGGACGATTGCTTCGAATACCATCTACTCGTGCAGTTTATCAAGGCATTGCCAAAAATCAGTCGATTTTCAAATATCTACTGTCATGTTTTTGTCCGCTCAATACCCTAAAAGGTCTGCGAAAGCTCCCACTGTGGACCTTTTGAGGCCGAGCACCCTAAGAGGTACTAAAACCGTTTTTTAAACCCCAAAAAGGTATGTGGAGCACCCCCGTCTTTTTTTACATGGATGTTTCCCCATAGGTAATAGTACTCCTAGATATTGTACTAGCCTATTAACATGTGCGCTGAAGGGACTGATTATAATGCGGCAAACCTGCGGAAGGTAAACATCACTTCAGATGGCGAAGCTTTTTGTGTGTAAAGCTGTGTTTTCCTCTTGTTTTAAACTCAAGCTTTCAATGATGGTCACAGGCACCTAATCGCGAACCTTTTTAGTTCACACCGGTGGCACACCAAGACGACTTCAGTTGAGCTATGGTTCCTAATTTTACGAGACTTAGTCAATCCAAATGACCCATGGCGAGACGAACGAGCTTGATATGCCGCCGAAGGGTTATCACTAAAGGGTGCTTTGAATTGTGGGGTAATCTTGGCCTGATCCAGCAACTGTATGCCAATCTGTAATTCCCAAGAAAATCAGTTTGCTATATTTACACCTGGTTCTGAAATTGCCGACTAACCACGATCTAGAACAGTCAAATGCTGTTTGTTGCGGCTGGTGAAAGTATTCGGTAGGCTATACACATAACACGTGAGCACTAAATACAGAATGTGGCGTTCTCAACCAAGCCAAGGTATTGCCTATTTCAATAAAGAGGTTACTAGTTTTATTGAAGCCTTCTAACAGAACTGATTTTGGCCAATGGTGTGGGGTATCGTTGACTTGTGTTAGGAAACCAGACAATAGTCTCTAAATTACATTTGTTAGTTTGACGATTTAAACCAACCTGACCAATGATGTTGCTGAGTTGTCGAAAGACCAATCACTGCTGATCTTGACCTGCTGTTGGCGAGGGAGTTATCACCTTCTTGTCCCTCTAAAACGTGTTCTAGAAGAAAGTAAAACATTATTTGAACAACTTCCTTTGACTTGCATTGGAAGATGGACTAGGAAGGCGGTTTCAGAAACTCTCTCCCAAATAACCAAGTGATCAAATTTGGTAACACACTGGGCTACATCACCTCGTGTGCCACTCTTTTGTTTTTTCAACATTTTGATGTGATATGTGATCAATTTAACAATTAGATTATGAGCTCGAGATTTCTATGAGGTAATAGTTGATGAGGTCGAAGGCCCAATCAACTATCACCTCATAGAAATCGAGAGCGAATAATCTAATTGCTTTAGTAGAATTCTTACTAAGATTTACTTCAAATAACGGTTTCCAATTATTTCTTGACGTATTGTTAAACTTTACGCCTGAAAAAGGTCGCTCGGATTGACTTGTCATTTAAAATTGAAGTTGTGTGGGCGCACATCAGTTTTTTCAATAATTTTAGCTCTTTTAAAAGTCAAGAAAACGAAAATGTCCTTCGTTTAGACTTCTCGGGATTTTTATTATCTATTTGCATCAAAATTTTCCTCCAAAACTTCGGAAAAACGAAAAAAACATCGCCATTTCCTAGACGACCTCCAGCCACTGCACACTAATGGCTGTTATAACATAACTAAAGCAAAGCGCGCGCTCTGATTGGTTAATTTAGCGTCTACTATTTGCCCATGGGTGTACGTTGCTGACGTGTGTGCTAATGTT